TTGGTATTACAGTTTCTCTTTATAGAAGGGACGCGAGAGCTCTTGCATTGTTGTACTTGCATTGCAGTTTCATTTGAAACATCTGAGCCTTCTCCTACCTTACAGCAATTCAAAGGATGCGGTCGCAGTTCATTAGAATAAGGGAAAGATCTAAACTAAATATTAAAGTATTTAGAATATTATTGCAATAAGAACACTTACATGCGATAAAAGGGTAGAAAAAGGATAAGACCATTTCAAAATCTTCTTGTGTTCATATATATATATTTATACAGGTCTTATATTTGGGTCCTATATTTGATGGCTGACAGGGAGGTACAGATCTGACCAACTCACTGACGCATCAGGAGTACACGATGTCCCTTGCACCCTTCCGCTGGGGATGCATCTGTGTTTTCACATGCAGTATGCGATGCGTGCTTTTTAAAATATGCCTTTGTTTACTGGTAAATTAATTTGAAACTCAGTTGAAAGAATTTTGACCATTTAAAAAAATGAATTTAATTTTTCAAATGTAACTTGCATGCAGCTGCCCAGTACTTTTCGACCAAAGAAGCTGCGTGTATCATACAGTGACACACTTGACTGTGATATAACAGAATGGGAATTATCTCTGAAAAGGAAAAAAAGACAGATTTGGGCTATAGAAATCTCAGCTAAACAGTAACTTGAAAGTAAAAGAGCTCACAGACAACACACTTTTTGAAGTTTTATTGGCAATAAATAATACGTTGATGATAATGTTTTGAGTGGTGTGTTAAGTGTGTCATAATTCTCTCGCAGAAATCTCTAGTTAAAAAGTACTCTGGATATAGCACTGTTTTAATTTAAAAAAACAGATATAAATCATATGCAGGAGAGGAAGTATGTTGTAAACAGTGCTGGGTTTGATTATAATTTTTTGAAATAATGTTGGCTCAGTATTAGATTTGAATTTTAAGTATTAATATTTACACGCACTGGGGAGGGAATCCCTGTTGAGTCTCTGTAGTAACTAATAATATTATTAATGCAAACTAATTTTGTGGGGAAGAGTATTAGACATGTGCCTATTAATATGGCTCTAACTATCTATTAATATTCCAGCATAAAATAAATGGATATTGTGCACCTGGGTCCAAATCATATTAACTTCTCTAAACGTAATAGCCAGCAGTCCTTTATTTGAGTAGAGTCATCAGAACTTGGCCCTCTGTTTATGTGTCTGCCTGGGAGTTTTTACTGAAAGTCATAAAGATCCAGATTGCCACGTCAGATGTTACAAGTGGCTTCTGTATGATGCTGATAGTAGCAAAGAGTCTTAGTGGACCTAAAGGCAGGGGAAAAAAAAGGGACACGAAGTCTAAAACCTCTCCCCAGTAGCACCACAGTAGTTAAGGGTCTGTCAGCATTTCCACTCCAAACCCCAATTTTCAGAGTTTATAACTCAGCTGTTTTAAATAGCTTCAAGCTGAAACCTGCTGTATAAATTGTCAGCCCAGATGTATATTTTGAAACAAAAAGTAGTGCAAATCAGTTATTCTGTTTTAAGTTACAGAACATTAAAATATTTTTAATAGTATCAGATGCTCTTTTGGCAGTCTCTGGAAAAAGCATTCTCAATACAGAAGATTTTACATTCAGAGGCTGTTTGAATTCAGTGTTTTGCAAGAAAAGTTGTTGAAGTGGTAGGTATCAATGTTGGAGAGGAACTATTTAGCATGTACACTAGCTTTTTTTTCAAAATAAGCATTTTACTCTGCAGAAAGTCTTAGTACCTGCTGTTGTATAGTAGTTTTACTTTGTGCTTATAACTTCTGCCTTTAGGGTACATACTTGGCCAGTTCAAATCCCAGTGGACCAAAACTGGGCAAATAGGTTGCTTAACCAGACGAGAATTGTGTTATGCAAAAAATACATAGTTATTTTCAACTTGTAAGAATTGGTTTGGTTTTATTTTGTGGCTTCAACTGACTTGGCGTACCTTTTTGAGCTTTAGTCAAAAAAAAAAAAAAAGCGCAAAAGCAAATCTACCTTTAGTCAACAAAATGCGTAGGTAATTTCATATGGAAAATAGAGATTTTGAAATAGTAGAGGTATTTATGTTTGAAGAATAGGTAAGGAATGTACACTATGACTACTTTTAATCTTTAATTTTTTATGCAGTCCTTATTCATTTCACAGTGCACTTACAGTCCTCTTTCTAAGAATATGTAAATGATTTTGGATTGATACATGGCATAAAATTACCAAATCAAGTGTTATGCCAACAGTCTTTCAGTATGTAAAGCTGCTTTTTAAAATTCTCGAAATGATGTATATTCCTCCAGGTTTCCAACTTGTTTTGCAACACTTTTCTCTAACCAGTGCTGTTATGTATGTGTGTGATAGTCTTCTGGTATTTCATGGCAAAAAAGTACGAAATTATGAAAAGAAGTAGCATTTTACTCCTGTTGCATAGCAGGGGAGCTTCCCATGTAACAGAACTTTCTTTTATTAGCCAAAGTTTTTATTTTCACCTCTGATTTCAGTTTGTCTTTTCCTTCGGTCTTCTCCTAATGAGACAAATAGTGGTATTGCATCATACTGCATCCAAAAGCCGGTGCATTTCAGTAATGATGCAGTTCTTGCTTAGGCGCGATCAGCCCAGTGACTCTGGCAGCGGCACGTGCAGTTTTTTTAAGGCTGATACCTCAGCTGACAAATTGAACTCACATCCTCGAGTGGAAAGAGTAGGGAGGAAAGCTCTGAGAAGCGACGGGAGGACAGGGAGGCCTTTGAAGAGGTTTTGCTCCCTCCTGCCCAGGTGTCGCAAGCTGTGCCCATGTTGGGGAGCACGGGTTGAGATGGAGGTGGGATGCGGCTGCCTGCTCCGTGCTCTGGGTACCTAGAGAGAAGGAGGTGAGCTGAGGCCGCAGTCATTTCGCTCCCTCTTCCGAGGCCCCTGGCAGACTCGCACTTCCTCCTTGTGCTCTCAGCTTCTTTGCGTTTCTGGAGTTAATGTGATTCTTTTTTTATTGTTTCGTGAGGTATAAAAAGCGCAGGTTGCAGCTCCCCTGGATGCTGATGTGCGTGACAAGACTGTCCAGAGATAGCGTGGTCTATTACAAACTGATAAGGGGGAGTTTTATTAGTCTCAGGCCCCGTGCTTTAGAGTTTAAGCCAGTATCCATTTATTAAGGGTTAGAATCAGCTCTATAATCTGTTCAGCAGATTATAATTTGTTATTTGATTATTATTTATTATTCCTTACACCTCACTTTGAAGCTGTCAGGCCTGGTTGCTGTCAGACCCAAGGCAGTGAGCTAGTGGGACCTCAGATCTTATCCACACCAGTGGTTCCTGTGTTGTTATGTTCAGGGACGTTCATAGCACTTTAAAGTAAAATCTTTGCTTGATAGACAGAGACCTCACAGCAGTTTGGGGCAAAACTCAGTTTTCAGTTGTGGGTGGTATTACCTGGTGTTCTGTGGAAAAACAGAAAAGCACCAGGGTAAATTCTTTTTACGCAGTGTTTCAGCTTTGCTTTCTTCTTTCTCTTCAATATTTCTTTCAGGTCAGATGAGCTATAATTTTCAGTAATGTGGTTTATTTTAAATATTTTCAGATTTTGTATACCTTTGTCATTAGTTTTCATTGTTTTAGGGAAATGTTGTACAGTGCACTGGGCCACGTAATGCTCTCCCTGTATATTCAGAACTCCTTATTCTTTCCGCTTAATTAATATTACAGTGCAACCTGCAATTATTAGTTTCAGCCAGGATCATTTATGGGAAAGACATTTCAAGTAGGGCTTATGACAAAATGTAATATATATTTCAAGAGACAGAATAAATTACGCTACGTAATATGAAAAGTCGTATCTGATCATGTAAACTGGTAGAAACTGCAAGGGGACAGACTTTGTATCTCAAGATATTTTTTTGCAAGTTCGAGATCAACCATGCAATATTCCTGAATCTATTTTTGTTATAAATTTATTTCCAGCATCAGTATTAGCTAACTGGTCAAAAGGAAATTATTTTCTTGATACTTTTGTGCACTTTTTTGCCCCTTGTGAGGAAATGTGTGTATTTTCTCCCTAGTAACTTAGTATTCCTGTTTAACTTTATTTTCACTTTAAAAAGTCACAGTGCAGTAACACTGTAGGTATCCCTGGTGTTTTCAGATTAGAAGAGCGTAGCTGTCTGCTCTGTGGCATTTGTCTGATCAGATGTTGGAGCACTACACAACCACTGAAGCATAAAAGTGAGACTATCAGCTAGCTGAAACGTAAAGAGAAATACTTTGATATGTTCTGTTCACCCATCCTGGAATTTGAGGGAGGCATCAGCGCTAACCACATGCGACTCTTGAGAGCACTATGAAAATTTACATGCCTGCGAGGAAGTATGGCCTTTGTTTTATATTGCATCTGAAGAGTTTGAATTCCATCCATAAAGTGCTCCATCGCAGCAGCATGTTGGGTGGAGAGCTTTGTGTGCTAAAGCCCCCGGTGCCCCTCCTGGGTAGATGGGGGAGTTCTCTCTAGCTTGAAGTCTCAGGAGCTCTGGGGTGAGGGTGATGGGTGCAACCAGCAGAGAAGTAGAACTGAATCCGGGTGATAAGGCTGCTAATAGTGATTTCTAACTTTCCATTTCAAATGTGTTCCCGCATATAATTTATGGATACGAGCCATGCCTCATGGTTTCTTGCTGTTCACTGGTTGCTAAGAACAAAGTTGGCCTTCAGGAAGCATTAAACCATACCCTCTACATAAGGATGTTGAATGTTTCTGAAGAAATGTAACACAGAAGAAACTCCCTATTAGGCTATGAGAAAGGGAGACAATACAAGATGTTTCTTTGTTTGATGTGGCACTTTGTTCTGTGTTCAGCTAGTACATGACTCTTCACCACAGCGGGCTGGAGAAGCTGCCACAGAGCTTCGTAATGAGCATGGCAGCCTGCGAAGCTGGGATGGAGACAGCGCGTTTTCAAAGTGTTGCTTCATGAGTTGTGGTTGTCTTCCCATTTTAACAGGTGGTGGCCTTAGGAGAAGTGCCTGATGGGACGGTGGTCACCGTCATGGCTGGAAACGATGAGAACTACTCTGCAGAGCTGCGAAATGCTTCTGCTGTGATGAAGAACCAGGTGGCCAGATTTAATGACTTACGATTTGTGGGCAGAAGTGGAAGAGGTAGGCCACTGCTTTTTATATGTCCATAGTGAAGTAAAAACAATTTCTAGATGTCAAACTTGCTTTGCAATGAAATACTGATTAATCTATAAATACACCCTTGTCAACCTTTCATTTAGAGGATTGTATACATGTTTTATTTGCAAACTTCAGCATTTGTGCAAACGGAGTTAAGAATTTGTCTTAAGTTTTTCTGACTCCTCCTGTCTCTGTACTTTTTTATCAGACACAGGTTTTGAAAAATGATTCGCAGAGTATCTGCTTCCCTGTTTTAGTCACACAGCAAAGGTAGAAGGAAATGGGGGTATTTGTGATCTGGCTTATGTGGAGTCAGAAAGTGTATCTCAGGCCATGGCAGTGAGAGATGGAGAATTCCCTTTAGCAGTAGAGCTGCTTCTGAAGTTGCTGTAGAAGACCTATAATTATGGGGATTTTGCATATCACGTGTGCTATAGGTTGTATTCTTTAAGGGCTTACATCTTTAGAGGCTTACAGCTGTTGGTGGAAAGCTTTCTAGTGAGTTCCCTGCCCTTTACAATCAAACTGCATATGACCTGCAAAAATAAGTTCTACTTTTCTTTTTAGTAAACTAGTTGACTTCTTATGAATTGCTGGTAAGCTGGGGCTTGAACTAAATTTAACCTTTACTTTAAATGACAGGGTAACTTTCAATTTTTGTTTTTGAAGATGTGGAGCGCTGTCATTGTCTTACAGCTGTTCAGGAGCTTCCTATAATCTGGAAACTGCACTGTACTCATAGAAAGCCTTTGTAATCATTGCGAGTTTGCAAGAATTCCTCTTTAAGAGTCTTGTAGCTGCTTTGAAATTTCAGGTAATGATTGAAAGGATAGCTCAAAGGAAGCTGGCACTTCAGTTTTTGCTGCAGGAATCTTCAGAGGGATTTATTGTATCAGTCATTGATTCAACCTACATATTTTTTTCTTCATGTATTGGATGTAATTATTCATATTTTAAACTAGCCCTGCATGGGGCAAAACAAAGCAACAGAAGCCAAACAATTATGCTGGGAGACTAGCAATAAAGCTAATTTTACAGTAATATTCTTTAGAAAGCATTTGTAATTCACCTTAAGGAAGGAAAGAGTATTTGTCCAAAAAAAATTAAACATGTGACAGAGACCTAGGTAGTCTAAATCAGCCAGCACACTTTTACAAGTACTTTGTGAAAATGAGTCCATAAGCATGGCTTACAGTGGCTATTTTTTATTTTAGTGACCTGGCCAACAATTCTCTTTGTCATTTTACAACTTATGAAGTATCAATCATAAAAACTAACTTGAAAGACAGAATAACTACTGCAACAGTAATGCAATATAAATATGGAGTTCATTACCCTTTTGGATAAGGTGTTACCTATCTCTTCCATTTGTCTTGCTTTCTTTAAAAAAACAGTCTGCTTTGTTATCCTGCTGATGGATTAGGTTTGAAAGTTCTCTGGCTCCCATCACTACTGCTCCCTTACAGTAAAAGTTCAGTAGTGTATCAGTCTTTCTGCAAAATGTGATGTACTACCTCTGATCTGTGAATTTCATTTGAAACCTGTGATATATACTTTTTATGAAAGCATAGGAAATTAAATAGAGGGCCTAAAGCCTCAGTAGATATGGCTACAGACACATACAAACACAAACCTCCTGAAATTTGGTTCCAGCAGTTTAATTTATATTTGTATCTAGCAGACTTGGAGTAGACTTTTTCTCTGATCAATCTGAGTAGAATCTATGGAAAAGCGATAGTGTACTTTTCAAACCCTCAACATATTTATTTAAGAGACTTCAAAGAAAAACAAAGGGTGTGCACTGTTTTACTATATTGGCTTTCTGAGTTTTGGCTAGTTTCCCAAATAGCAATTTTTATATTTTAAAAAAAAAAAAAAAAGGAAGAAAAAAGACAGACTTAACTGCTTGCAGACTTTTCACGCATGGAAGATGAAGAAAGCTTCTTTTGATGAAGTGTAATTATGTCCAAACAGAGCTGACCCCCTCCCCCTATATTTCTTATGATCTTAACGGAAGAAAGTAGGGCTTTTCCTTTGAAGCAGCCGGGACTCGGTGGAGGATCTGAAATGCTGCATTCTGCTGCCAGAGGCAGGATGGAGAAATTGGTCCAGACTTGTCTTCCAGACTTAGAACAGAGAGGGGGAGAGAGAGGGAGAGAAGGAGAAAGAGTTATCATCAATGATAGATTTTTAGAACTCTGCTTAAAATAGCAGGAAAAGAAAGCAGTAGTTGCAAACAGAAGTGAGAAAGCTCCTTACATAGACAAATATTGGTAGATACAGGTCTTGAAGTAGAACAGGAAAAATAAAGTAATAAAGAAATCATTTTTCGGTGGCGAGAAACTAATCCACACCTGTTCTTGACTTTAGATTTACATCTTTCTGAACAGCTTGCTCTTTGATCTCTGTATCTCTAAATTTGGTTGTGAAGTCTGAATCATCAACTTACTGCTTCACCTCCTCTCCCACGTTTTTCCTTGCTTCCCATGGCTCGATGGAGAAACTTGATTTTTATACATATTAATGTTGCTTGCCTGACAGAAGCTTCACGTTTTTGTTTGTATAATTTCTCTTAAACACCTTTTCTGGATACATAAGAATAAGTAACCAGGATGCTTTATGTGAATGCAGAAGTTGTTAGTATGTGGTTTTCAGGCAGTAGCTCACTTTTACAAGCCTGGTTCACAGCACAGAGAAGAAAGAATTCCTGTCTTCAATAAGCAAAGGATCATAACCTTAATTTTGTTGTGTCCTGATACTTTAATCACATTAGCATCTAACTGAAAAAATATGCAACACGCACAAGCTGCCGAGTCTCCTTTCAAGCTAATTTCTGGGGTTTGCCTTGTGCTTCAGCATATGTCCATCTCGTCCTCCTCTATGTCAGCTCAGCTCACATGTGTGAATAACAAAGAATGCACAGTTTAGACACACTGAAGCAATAGTGCCAGATGACTGCTTGTCTGGGAAATTTAATAAAAGAGAACTACAATTAGTCTCTGGCCTCTAAAAGTGGATAGTTGAAATGACTAAGGGCAATAAAAAAAGGTGATAAAAAGTGCATTAAAGGATTTCGTAGCTGAGGAGGGATATCTGTGAAATATCTGTGGAAGGCATAAGCATGACTGAAACACGGGACCTTAAAAATTTATTTTGTTCTTAATCCTGTAATATGTAAATCATCTCTTGAAAGCTCTGGAACCTGAGTGCCCTGGCAGGGCCATGCAGCTCCCTGCGATGAAGTGATGTATTGTTTACTGAGTGCGAGGGGGCTTCATCAGTGTTACTTCTTTAATCCTTCAGTTTGGTAGAACATCAGTTAGGGAAAAAAAAGAGTTTCCTTTTCAAATTAGATGCTTACCTGTTCAGTTTAGGCTGGCTGAGAGGTGACAATTTAGAAATGCTCACAGGCAAGGTCGAAACATAGCTCTTTATATAAAGGAATGCATTTTTTTCTTATCCTGTTGAGATATATTTAGTGTAGAAAATCTTGCCGTGATTTTCTACAGAATGATTTTACAGGGTCTTACAAATAGTGTATTTTGTTGGGTTAATTTTTAGTCGTGACAGACTTTTACACTGATTTGGCATATAAATAGAACAGTAGCATTGGAAGGTCAAATTCTTCCTTCAAAGGTATATGGAAAATCCCTTTAGTATCTTTGTTACAAATAATATCCTACTAATTTTATATGGGTAACTGTGATCTGAATGTCATCATCATACAATTGAATAGTCGGAACTTTTTGACATGATAAGCTGGTGCCGGAGGAGGCCTTAAACCTGTCCCTGGTGAATTATATGTATCCAGGCAATAGCCTGAATTCCTACTTGGAGAGGGATAAAAGGCATGGATCCTTTTCAGCCCTAAACAAGCAGACATGGAGGCACTACATGCTTTGGTAAGGCTGGTGCTATATGTCTGAAGGCTGCCTGCGCTCACGCAGTACATTGGCAGGACACACAGTTCACCTCTGGGGATGGTGGATGGGCAGGACTGGACATCCTACATAGACCTACCTCTCCTCCTGTGATGATAACTCTCAAAAGATCTGAGAAATAATCCGTTTCCTAATGAAACTGGGGAAAGCCACCTTCAGTCATGCATCTCCACTGAGATAGAATTCAGCCTCCTGAGATTTTTGTACCTTTGCGGGGGTCCTGACCTTCCCTCTACCCTGTGTCTCTTGGAGAGGTGGGCACAGCTGGAGTGCAGCTACACCTGGAAAATCATTTTACTCTAAATGATGGTTATATTTCCTTAAAAAAAAAAAATCCATGTCACATTCTAGTTCATGAAAAATATAGCCAAGACAGTTTGAAGTTGCACTGCTGATAATAAATGATGCGTGTCTCAGGCAGGTTTGGGGGATATACGACTTGGACCAGAAAGAAAGACCAATTACTAGATTTGACAGCCAAAGCTCTGTTCTGTATTATGCCTTATATATAAGCTGTTCTATATTAGGCTCGAAAAAACTGCATTAAGTTTGTGCTGTTACATATCGTTTAAGATTTGTGCCTTGATTGAATGCCTTTAGAGTTCAGCAAGAGGAAAAGCCCTAGCAACAAAAATGCACGTATACGCACAGGGAGGGGGAGAAAAAAAGAGTGTTTTAAGTCTAGTAAAGTAGCAGCTTAAATGAGCATGAAGGCTGAAGATTGCTGACTGTTTTATTGAGTCACTGTTGTACGCCCACCTTTTCCTGTCTTGAAACAGTTTTCAGTTTTGACTATCTGACATGACTAACCGTTGCATATCTAACAGATTACAACTGTCAGTGAGTCTCCCGAACGGGGGCCAGCGCCTTGTGAGAATGTACGCTCAGACGCAGGCAGCTCCCTTTATTTATTTCTTTTTAACGTTTTCATTCAGCTAAAGGCTGTGGATGATCTTGTGCAATCTCTGCCTGAATTCAAACTTTGAAAAATAAAAAAAAAATGCAGACTTACATAGCAACATACTTGCACACAGCAGTTTCTCACCCTCATGGGAAAGATGACGGCTTTCTTAGTATTTCATAGATGGAATGTATGTAGGGGAAAAAAGTGTATTCCAGTAATAATGAAATCATCATATTACTCCTGGCATATGAAGGACAGGAGACACTGATTCCCTGTTAAAATGACTCCCAGGAGGAAAATATATTCTTTCCTCATCTTATTGTAGTCAAGTCAAACAAATGAAATGATAAAACTGTGAAGTAAATAACATGTGGCCACATTCTGCTCTCTGTCACACAGCTGCAAAACTGGAGTAAATTTTTGAATTATCTGACTTGCTTTGGATTTACACCACTTTCAATACAGCAAAGAATTTGGCTTGTCCTCAGCAGTGAATCACTTTTGTTCTGTCATTGTATGATGACCCATTATTAAATAAGAAACATTTAGATTGTCAACACATGGACATATTCTTGACATAGAGTAAAACTGAAGGGGAGGAAAACTCCTATGGTCAGTTATGTTTTTAATTTTCACGATTGTGGTAACGACAGGGAATAATTTTAAACGTCTCTGATTCTTTACTGAACATGCATGTGACTGTTTTCATGTTGTAATCACTCATTCCTTGTTGTTTTTTTCCCTTTGTAGGGAAGAGCTTTACTTTGACAATAACTGTCCTGACAAATCCCCCCCAAGTCGCTACATACCACAGAGCAATAAAGGTTACAGTGGATGGGCCAAGGGAGCCGAGAAGTGAGTATTAAATTCTTATTTTTGCACTTATAACTGCTTAATTTTGTTTAACGGAGACCCATAAATGAAATACATATCTTTGTCAAACATTGGTTCTTGCTCAGCAAAATATCTAAGCGCATGCTTAATTTGGAGTGTATTGGACCACACACATACTTGCATTAAATACACACTTAAGTGCTTGGCTGAATTTGGGCAATTGCAAACCTGATTCTCATTCACATCAAGGTCTTATACATTATCTGCCAGTGTAAATGAGAACTAAGCCCACTGTATTTATATATAATCTGATTTAGGCATAATAGATACAATCCTGAAACATGCTGAATTCTCTAAACTCCTGTAAGCTTCCAACTGAAGACGTTTAGAACAAAATAGGAGACTGATCTTTCAGGATCAGTCCTAGCACAGAGAGAAAAAATATAATATAGTGCCTTTTTGTTTGCCCTTAAATTCTTTTGCCATCAGATAATTAATGCACCTGGTTAATCTCATAATACCTGAAATTGGTTTTCAGCTATGGACTTATCATAGAACCCTGGGGGCCAAAGAAAGATAAAAAACAGTTTATCAACAGTTTGGTCTTTGTTTCTGATTTGTGCAGAGAAAGTATATTTTATTTAAACATAGTCCAGCAGATCTTCACTTACCATATTTATCTCATAGCCGTGCACCTTCCTAACTTCCTAAGAAGCTATTTGCAATGGTCACTGGCTATATTTTTATGACAATTGTGTTTTGTCATATTCTAGCAGTTTTACGGGTAGCACTTATTTTTAGATACGGTCGAGTCTGATTAATCCATCATGGTTTATATGGCTGTCTCTCTGTCTAGCAGATTTAGCTGGTAACCAGTCTCACATCATATGGGTATCACTTAGGAGCCAGTTCTGGAGTTTTTTCTCAATCTAACTAGAATGACTCTTTCTAAATTGATTGGATTAACTGGGTATAGCTGTATTTAAATTACACTTAGAGATTAAGAATTATTTGATGAATAACCACATTAAAAGAATCCCTATAATGGAAGCACCTCAAATAATTATTTTGCCTTTGATCTGCACATACAAATGAGACCTTTAAGGAGCTTTCATGGAGTTTTGTTTAAAGTACCACAAAGACAGAAGAAGTAGAGAGACGTAGACAGAATTCACGCAGTTAAGTGTTTCTCATGCTAATACATGCTGTGGTGTCATCTCCTCTTACACTGAGAGACGGGAACTGAAATGCCTTCTGTAAGAACGGTCCAGGCTGTAGAGTTTCACCTTGAACAACAGATTAAAAAAAGCAAGTAGCTATGGATAAATTTCATTATGTAGATTCTTGCGTCACTACCTGTTCACAGCTGAGGTGTCCGTCTGTCACATCGAGGGGATTCTTGTTCTGTCTTCTGTCCCGAGCTGAATCAGTTCCCATTTTTAATTTTCACTTGCAGCTGGTGCTCCATGTAGCTTATGTGGAGACACTAGGCAAACTACATTCATGGAGCAAAAACCGGGGAATAAGTTATATATCATTTAGCCATTCCCATTTGGAGGCTGCTTCCATGTATGTATCAAGCCATCCGTAAAAGAAATAATGTCCCTGCAGAGTACACAACCACTGTGAAAGAGCGAAGTGGTTTGAAAATGATGCAGAGAGTAGCGTGGACTACCCTGTGTAGCACAGAAAGGGAACCTGCTTGCAATGGGACTAACTATTTTGGTGATCAGCGGATTAAAAGTGAGGCTATATTCATATAAATTAGTAAGACTTCCGAGTTCTGTTGGAGTTTCTTAGTTTAGACTTGAAAGGCCTCCGTATGTGATACCTGTCTGCTATGCTCATTGAATAGCTGAACCTAGGAATGCTCAGTAACTTAGCTCTTATAGCCTAGGTGGAGTTATTGTGTCTTTCTTCATGTTTTTTTTTTTTGTCCAAAAAAATAAAAGCCAAATTTGAGCTTGAATGTCCATTTGAATTTTAATATTTTGACTAAATTCTTAGTGAAGCTCTACTCTGGGGTCAGTTTGGTTCTGCAAGTTCTGTTGTTGCAGTCTGATATTTTCAAGGCTATGACACCTCCAGAATGTCTAGTTATTAAACTTAAATTTGCAGGGAAAGAGTAGCTCCAGAGAGCTGTGGGAGTTTCACTGAAGTTCTGCTTCCTTGTGAGAGCCCCTGCACTTGTGTAGATTTATAACTGTTTGGTAGTAATCGTTCAAGAAGTGTATCTGGCATTTACGTTGTATAAGGAAAATTAGGTGGTTGGGGGCAATAAGGAATTCAAGTCAACGAGCAGCTCTGATATAGCAAATGTGTTTTTCTTAACAAATTATGTATCAGCAAATAGTGCCCCTCTCTGCCAGGATCTGTATTTCACTTCGACATCTCAAGCATGTTATCCTAGTTTTCTTCTCTCTGGCAGCTCAACCAGAGCTGTCACATCACAAACAACTTTTTTCTTAATATACACATCTGGCGTTGGCAGTTGGACCAACTTCATAAGAGCACATGATCATCATTCATTACAAGATTAAAAAGTACCCCATGGCATCATTGATGTTTTTTAACTTTGATCTTTTGCAGTTGTGATTCATCTCAGTTATAAAACTTCCCTTTAAAGGAACACAACCGATGACTTACTAGAACCTTCATTCTAAGTAGCGTAAACATAAAATTATGCACATCTTTACAAAATGTCATTTACTTTGTGGCCAGCTTATCATTTTAAGACATGACATCATGCTTTAGATCATGAATTTGTAAGGCTTGTTTATAGGCAAGGCACTCTGACCTTCTGTTGGCAAGTTGACTGGAGCGAACGAATGCTGTGTACTTTCCAGCAGCAGCAGGAGCAGCAGCAATACCATGACAGATATCACAATCATTTAGAGTCTGACTTTAAGAGTGGTGAACAGTCATGGCATGCAGTGACTCCAGTTGGTGTTTTGGATGCTCAGCACTTCAGAAAGCCAGGTTCTTAAATGTAAGTGCCATTTAGTCGTATTAAACATATGCTTGTAGAAGCTTGCTGCCTTGCCTCTCTCTTATTATTTTAAAATATTTTAATAGAGACAGTGATGTCAGGTTGCTCTGTTACGAAAACCTGCCCATTTCTATATGATAAAAGGTCTTCTCATGACTTTTTCTTGGGAAAGATTTATTTATTTTTAATTATCTATTTCGGTCTATCTAGATTACCATCCAGGGACATCTACTGTGTTGCACAGTCTTTGTGCTGGATCAAGAGAGCGCATTGCACTCTGAGTGATGGAGCCCAGAGACGGGGTTGTATAAGATCTTTGGGAATCATTGGGAAATCCTGCAGATATTTTTCTTTCTTCGTATCCAGAATAAAACCTCTGCCATATGCATATCTTAGCCAGCAGAGCTGCCTTCCAGCTGGGAGGACTAACAGAAGTTTTCCAAAGAAATAAGTTGTCATGAGGTCATAACTAACCAACAGATAGCAAGAGATCACTGCAAAGGAGTTAAAAGAAGGAAAAAACAGAGCGAAAAAAACCCTGGCCTTTACCTGAGCCCCCCTTTAATGGCTTTGCCTTACCTTATTACAAATACAGAAATAATGATTTGCCCTTCCATAGTGCTACCTTTCGAATAGGAGACATGTCCTCCTTTCTAACTGCTTTTGATAGAAACCCAGTCAGGAGGGAAATCATGAGGAAGGAGGGAGGAGAAGTCCACGTATTTCTGTATTTTACCTGGCTTCCAAAGACCTTAGTTCGTCTCTAATTAAAGGTACTCTCCAAAATCACGAACCACGGTTTTCTTTATCAGCATGAATGGAAAAGGAGTTCTGAGCTTTGAACTGAGGTGTTTCAGTATGAGAAAACTGCTCTAGTTCATTCAACTCCTGCATATTTCTCTGCCGGCGCAGCTTGCAAGGTGCACACGTGATGAAAGGTATGAGCAAACATCGCCTTTTTGTCTGTGCATGCTGCAGAAGCCAGCGAAAGCCAGCGAGAGGTTCTGCTCAGCCTTTGTATTAACTGTTTGGCTGACCCGGCTTATAAAAAGCAGATAAGTGATTGAGATTTTTGAGATTCCTCGACTTAAAACCATAACAGTTTTTAGGAAGTTCTCCCTTTTCTTTCAAAGACAGAGGGTGGAGGGATAAGTCTGGGGCTAGTGGAATGCGCTTTGGAGTAGAACAGCTCTAAATAGTTCCTTTTTTTTTTTTTCTTAAATTTTATTTTTGTCTTCTTTTTTTTTCTTTTTTTTTTTCTTTTTTTTTTTTTTTTTTTTTTTTGTTTACGCCTGGCCGGGAGCGGGGTTGGTGGCCTTTTTTTTTTTTTTTTTTTTTTTTTTTTTTTTTTTTTTTTTTTTTTTTTTTTTTTGGTTGACCGCCTGTCAGGAGCTGGGCTGGTGGCCAAGCAGGAAATGACACATCGAGAGGCATTTGTGTTGTGCAACATTTTGTGGAACTGATGCAAGGATACATTGTCTGTTTACGCATTCCTCTGCTAACAGCCTGCATGGCAGTAATTTTATTCAGGGACACATGGCATGCTACAGCAAGGAGCTAGATCCTTAACATCTCTTTATGCAGAATTATCACAGCAGTTAAAACATGCTGTGTGTCCCCCGTTTAGAATATTCTCTGGCTCGCCTTCAAAAACCGCTCTACCAGCCCCCCTTCCTTCCCAAGAATATATTGATTTGGCTGTGGTTTTTTGCGCTGTGGTAAATTGGGGCAGTGCAGAGAGAGAGAGTTTGCAGAACAAGAGGAAATTTTACAGGCAGGTCCTACTTTGTGCATCTACTTCAGACCGTAGATGTAGCATCGCAGTTTTTTCAAGCAATCCGTTGCAAACACTGAACACGGAAGTTTGCATCTGCATGCGTTTTGGCACAGCGAGGAAGTTTTTAATTAAAGTCAATGCTAAATACCCTGAGATATGATGAACGAGTCCTGGGTTTTCATCCAAACCGAAGTTAGAAAATCTGTGGCTCACTCTGGTGTCTTTCAGAGTGACGAATCTCTACTGAGATCAGCT